CAGAAACCTCGTTCCTAAAATATGGTTCGAAAATTTTATGCCAAAAGATGGCATAATAGAACCATTTCTTTAAGAAAATTTAAAAACGGCACCAAAATATTGGTCCACGAGCAAACCCCTCATCAAAAAGTCAGGTGTAAATGGCTACTAATAATGTCCCACTGAAGAAAGATACAGGGTTTTGTTACTATCCCTAGGCGCTCTACTGTTCACGGAACAAGGTAGAGCGCTGTATTTTGGAGGAACCCTTTCTAGTAGAACCACAGTCCTAAAGGGTTCATCGGAAGCACCCCTATACCCCACCACAAAGCCATCAAATCAAACCACGATGCATACTCTCTTTCCAAWGCTCCATGCACAGCTTTATTGTAACCTACAAATAACGGTATATACAATGAAATACAGTAACTATACAATAATATGCAGTAGGTCCACTTCCWATTCCGCTATTCCTMGGCCCATATTCTGCATTTGTAGGGTGGATTCATGGGGCTATGCTTGCCACAACCGTATGCCGACGCGAATTCCTCGAAATTGCTCACCACATTGTTGACGCGCACGCTATGCGCATCATGCAGATTATTGGTGCGCGACGCATTGGTGCCACACCACGTTTGCGCGAAGCTCAGGAAGAAGAGCTTTAGCTGTTCCGTCGTTAGGGTGTTATTTACACCTACACTGCGTCGGTAGGTTTCCAGAGCGAGGCGCAGGCCCTCCGTATCGGCGATATTCTCATTCAACGTCACCTCGCCGTCGTCGTAACGCTCGCTGAGATAGCAACGCGATTTAGTGCCAAATCGTATTATAGCTTTAGCACCCCAGTTGCCCACCATATTCCCCGCCTGATCGTAATTGAGGCCGTCGTAGTCGAATCCATGCATCAGCTCGTGCGCGATYACGTRGACGAAGCTGCCGTATATTTTCGCTGCATCCAGGCAGTTGTGGTAGAAGGGCGCGCGCAATATACCTATTGGCAGTTCGATGGCGTTCTTCTTCAGCCGATAGTAGGCATTGACATCCAGTGGTCCGTAGTTGTTGTAGGCAGGCGGTGCGCTCCGTCCTGTGAGCAACGTTTCGAGCACTTCATGCAGTTGGCTATGCGTGCGCCAACGCCACAATTTCAGCAAATTGRCRTCGTGGTTRCCGCCCAGCTCGATAGTGGATGGCAAATGAGCTTTGCTGACGTTTGCCGCTTGTGGCAGCAGCAAGCGCATCGCATGCAGCTTCTSCATACCCAGTGATTTGGTGAGCGCGTCGCGTTCAAAAACATTCGTGGCGTTCAGCGAGTGTTCAAATTGCATTTTCAGCTTTTTGAAAATGTCGTTCAGGGCGCTCTGCGTATGCGCCATATAATTAGCTGCATCCCCTGTGTCGCCGTACTGCAGACGCATGAACATTTCCGTTAGTTCCGCTGGCAGAAAAGCGTGTAGTTGTTGTAAGCAGTAATCGCGCTGCTCTTGAAAGCTCTCCTCATCGTGCATGCTCACCTCGAAGTGCGCCAAAAACTGCACCAGCAGATATTTAGCAAGCACCTCCGGTTTAGTGCGCTTTAAGAAATCGCGGAGCTTGCGCAAATACGGTATATCTGCCACAATTAGCARACGTTTAGCGTAATCGTTGGGCAATTCATCGKCTATATCGCGCAGAACCACACCGAAATATTCASGCAAATTCAATTCGGGCAGCTCAGCTGCCAACGACGACAACGTTTGTGGCTCGCGCAGCAGCAACAAGCTCTCGCTGGGCACCAGCTCAAACAGCTGTTTCTCAAACTCCACCACTTCGCCGGCAATAGCTTGCGCGCGTCGTACACGCATGCCCAAATCCAGCATCAAATATTTCACGTACCGTTTGTATACATATTCCGAGTCGCTATCGTATTGCGCCGCGTTGCGCGTTGGTTTGAGCAAATCGAACGCTGGCGCCGATATGTAGAGGATTTGTTGCTCCGCTTGTTGCCAGTTGCTGGTGACTAGTAAACGCCACAGAGATTGCACGCCGTAGCGGCGCAACTCCGCGCTCAAATATATGCCCCACTTCAGGGTGGTGTTCGCGTCGATCGTCTCCCAATTGGGGTTCAGCACCGGCCACTCGCTTATGCGACGTAGCGCGTCGGTGTATGTGCGCAATGTGGCGGCTTCCACATTCAAATGTGAACGCCCGGTGTAGCTGTTCTCGCCTGTAACGCGCTCGACGCATGCATTGAAGAAACGCACTGCAACCTTTTCACTSCGCTGCAACGTTGCGCGCATGTCTGTATGAAGCGCCTCTTGCTTTTCCAAAAGATACGCCACTAATTGTTGTTTGTTATCCGCTTTGACGGCGCTCAGTGTGTCATGTGCACCGCGCGCGCGCAATTGATATGGCGCGCGCCAATTACCACATGCGTACTCATAGAAATCGTCGCAAGGCCACATTACGTCGTCCACATAAGCGTGCATGGTGTCCAGTTGACGCGGCCAATAATCTGCTGAGCAAGMAGGCGGTGTAYTTTTAMCGCTAYTGGGCGCGCTGGTGGGTGCAGGTGTTGCATCGCTGTGGTCCACATACGCGTACGTTGACGTGCGCTCCTCCGTTGTTGCAGCGGTCGCGGCGTTGACGTCACTATTTACATAGCCCAGCAAAAGCAAGAGCAAGGTTAAGGGTATACGGGTAAACAACACGCGCCTACAAATATTTCGCATTTTAATAGAACTGCTCAGTTTTGTGTACACTTTCACACTGAATTCCACTGTGCGCGCTTTGGACAAACGATTTAAAAGCGCTTTAACGCGTCGCCGAGTCATTGATAAGCGTTTTCTATCGCTCTCATTGATTCTTTTGAGCGCGTCGTGCTTTCGCGAATTGTTTTGTTTTGTTTTGTGCTGTCGCGGCACAGAARGAAGCTTATCGCCTAACCGTGGCTCGTGAGAATGCACAAATCGCTCTCAGCTGATACGAWTCACAATTTTATATTGTAAAAATAATCAAGCCGACTATAAAAAGTTATATACTTTTTTAAAAATATATATAGTAATAGTTAATGCTTTCTTATCGGAAATGCCGCGYTCTTGAATAGAAATTCTGATTGATAGTGATCATATCTGTAGACTTTAAAAATAGTTCTATTTTTCATAGATCTACAATGTTATTGAGAAAATACGTACGTGTAGTTAATAAGGTATTTATGTAGGGAAAAGGTTAAAGCAATTTGAAGTGTTCTTGAAAGAGTAATTGCTGCCGGTTTTGCAAAAAAAAAAAAAGGGGAAATACGTACATTTCTCTTTCAGACATAGTAATATTCTTTACGTTTATAGGAAAATATTTAAAATTAGCAAACTATCAAATATTACTAAGAAACTCTAAAATGTTTAATATTTTACTTAAAGTATAAATTAACTTAAAACTAAGAAATATAAATATTAAAATTTTAATGCAATGATGATGATATAAAATTATTATTATTCTTTTCAGCGGAAGGTGCGATCTCGGAGTGGTAAAATTAACCGATCAAATAGAAGAAAATATAACCATTGAGATGTAAATGTAAGAAAATTGTAGAATAAAATAAAATATATATTTCCAGAAGAAAGTTTGAAGGTGTGTTTTTGTGCAGATGAAGGATGATGAAGATGTGGTTAGAATTTTAAAATTAAAGAAACTAATAAAAAATGCTATATGATTATTGTTCTAAAACAAACATTATTTTAAATGCATTTTTTGCATTAGAATAATGTGTTTTGTTATAAAAGTGGTTACTGAATTGCACTAGGGACAAAATAAAATATATCAAAACAATAAAAAATAACAAAAA